GCTTGATGCATACCAATTTTTCTTTGGATCAAGTTCAAAATGGCCAACTGGCGGCCATTTTGTTTTAAAGAATTTAGTTTTCGATCCATATCTCGGACATGCCTGGACAGATCAAGTTCAAACTTCACATACACATCATACATTATATCATACATATGTCTGTGCATTTGGACCAGTCCTTTTAAGGTCAAAAATTTACAAAAATTGCACATTTTCACCATACCGGAACTGAATCTTAGTCATGCGTGGGCAAATTTAGTTTAATTTTTTTTTTGGATTGTGTTGAAAATGGCTGACTGGTGGCTATTTTGTTTTTAATTACTGAATGCAGTTCAGCATCCATATTGTTGCTGCTTTGAATGTATATGTCACTCAAAAATGAACGGAACGGGGACGTGTCATTGACAATAACTTGTCTTTATCTGCCTTTGATGTTACACACACAGCAATGTGAATAATAAAATGTGGGATTGAAACATTACTCAACAAGATTGTTTTACACGTTTAATCAATAACAGAAATTAATATCTGGAGTGAATATCTGTTCTTGAATTTTGAAAATAATTATTCTTCATGAAAATGTTGGTTGTGAATAAACACAAAATGAACAGTTCTTGTTATAGGTAAAATGTGTCTGGCATTTACCCTCCCCCTTCAGTAATAACAAAAGATAAGTTATTTAATTGTATGTCTAAATTGTCTATTTGACAATAATTCTATAAATTCTTTTAAAGCATTTTTATGAATGGCTGGGGATTTAAATTTTGTAAATTTAGACAATGCAGCATTAGAAAGTCTACTTAGCATTACATTAGTCAGTGCAATATTTACAGTAGAATCTGAATACAGTTAGCAGTGCAATGAAGATCTTCTTTAAAAGTGTCAAGTTTATATACAGTATATACAAGAACTTCATCAACCTTAAAGTGAAGGAACTGAAAGATGTGCAAAGAGTATTTGTAGCCATCTACATATTGTAAGGCAATTCAATTTCTGCCCAACAGACCATGAACTGACCAACATCTGTCATACATCTACTTCGTATAAATGCTGTAAATTTTAAAATGTCTTTCAAATACCTAAAAGTTTTGAAATTTAATTTAATACAGTGGCCCCTCGCTAAGTCGCGGGTGTTGGGATCCAAGCAAAAACCGCGACTTATCGAGGGCCGCGACTTACCGAGGGCCACTGTATATTGTTCAGTGTAGTTTATTTAGCAATTACATGTACAACAACTTGTTTGATAACATCTGAAGAAGGTTGGTGAACATTGATGCGATTAATGCCTGTTTCCGGGGAAACCAGTGTTGTATTTTTTCGTCTGACTAAGTCATACTATATGTGTTGTCTCGTTCGTAGCAAGTCAGTCAATAATCTCTAAAATGGCCATTCAAATATATACCTGTCACATCACTACATAGCGGGGAATTACTTGATTTGTAACGACGCAAAATCCTGAAAATGTTCCGTTCGATCATTTGCCTGTATGCACGGGACGGTGGCCGTGACGTCACGAACTGAGAAAGGGTCTACAAGTTGCTGCCTAGACTGGCAAAGTCGGGACTATAATTAAATGTTGTTTTAGCGTGAGCGCGAAAAATAACCTGACCGCTAAAGAAATCCTTCGCAGTCACGCTAGTTTTTGCGATCACGTTAAAAAGGCTAAATTGACAATTATATTTTTTTGTAAAACAAAAAAGAAGTCCCGACTTTGCCAGTCTAGTTGCTGCCGTGAACTAACATTAGCACGCACGTTAGAAACTGCAAACAATCTGTTAGAGATTTTCAGGAATATTTCATCGTATCCCATAATACGTTCAGTTAGAACTTGATGGCAGAAATGCTGACAACGAACATACACTTTAGTGTATTAACAGTGGTATCACCCCTTTTAATGTATCCTCCATGGAAGGCTATGTATGATACGTAGTATTATCAGAAGACATATTTACAAATGCTAGTACGCTAATCTAATTACATTCAAATATTACCGTGAAGTGATTTCGAGTGGGAAGGCATCGCTTTTTATTATATATCCAAGTGCTAGTGTACCCTTTTTTCTCTGGCCTTTTTGGAAGAACGTTTTGTCTTATTTGCTCAGGATTGCGATATGTTCGCGTGTCAGTGACAGGCAACACGTTGCGCGATTCCCTGTTCATCTAAGGTTTGTTTACCTGTAGCTCCGGGCCGGGGGTACAGCGGTCAAACGTCGAAACCAGAATGCATATACGCGATTCCAACTACAAAAAGTACCTGGTGTTCATTGAATTTAAGCTTGCTTAGACAGGAGTCGCTGAAAAAATCTCTTCATGTTTTCTATTGTTTATCTTTAATTAAAATAAACACTTATGTTATATATTTTATTCAACGTCCAACTGAAATCGTGGGTCATTGGGTACGTCTTGTGGCAGTATTAACGTGCAGCATGCCATTCCGTTCAGAGTATTAACCATATCCGACTTCCATCCCCACCTATCATCATCTACGTAGTAACATAGAACTGATCTCTTGCTCTGTTTCGTCTTCCACTCGTATCCTCCAACCACGTATATGTTTCCTTTCATGACCACTGCGTTTGTCACACTACACCCCGAGGGCAAATCTGAAGGGAGTGTGTGCCATTGATCGCTGAGTGGGTTATAACATTCCGTATTAAGAACGTCGATCCTCTTGCCGTTTCCGTCCTTGCAGTTACCGCCGATAGCGTATATTTTGCTTCGCACCGTGACCATGCTGTGCCACGCCCTTGCTGTTTGCATTGACATCCGTGCTTCCCACGTGTTGGTTGTCGGATTATAGGCATTCACAGCATTGCTGTACTGCCCTCCGTATCCTCCAGAGATGTATAATATGCCGTCAAATACTGCACCCGCTGGCGCCACGGCACTGACAGGGTAAGGCGCCACAAAGGACCACTGATTTTTCTGAGGATCATAGTATTCAACAGATCTCGTTCTTTCATGACGTCCTTTCCACCCGCACGCCGCATATAGTTTATTAGCTATCACGCACAGATGGAAGTTTGACCGCCTCTCCATCATTGTAGGCAGAGTCACCCAGGTATTGATGCGTGGATCATATCGATATACCGTGGCCAGGCTGTGTTCACCTCCTGGGCTACCGCTGGTTTGCCCTCCAACCACGTACATAAAATTGGCCAAAGTAGCTACGCTATGGTCTACCAATCGCGACGGTGCTTGAGACAGATGATAGGTGGCACCATTGAACGTGTTCAGACATTCCACGTTTGTAGTAGCTCCGTTATCCCGTAGTCCGCCAACAGTAATGAAAAGTTCGTTACTGGATCTTAGCATTGAGCTCATGGATTGCATACAAGGCTGGCGATGTGGAGTAGCATGGTACTTGAAGGCATCGATCAGCAGGGAGTTACATGCTGGATCATTCATCATAAACCCATGAGACTGGACTTTGTCCACCAAGTCATCTGGCGGAATCAATGACAACCGGACATTCCGCATGAGTTTCCCAGAATATGGTAATCTGATAGGAGTTAGTTGTAGCCACCTGACCACTGTCTGGAATACCTCCGTCTCGTCGTACATGGCTAGCTTATTGCTCTTGAGACAATCGTTCATTTGTCGGTCATTCAGCTCTTGGAAAACACCCTTGTCCGTAATCTCTTTAAAGTTAGCCAGTATAAATCCCTCAGCGAACACTCTGAGATCACTAACATTATAGCTGGTGCCAATATTTAGAATCTCCACACAGTTTTCGATTAACAACTCTCCTTTCAAAAAATCGCTACATATGTCTATAATACTGGGCATCTCTAGACAAGTGGTAGCTTCTAGAACCTTTGGCACGTTCTGGATACTCAAATCAATCTCAGCTGTGTAAATGAAATTTATAACTAACTCGAGACCATGGGAACTCAGGCCTTCTAAGATAATCTCACTATCATCCGTGTCCTCTGGTGGTCCGTTGAGCAAGTCTCTGAAGTATCCGCTAAACGCAGCCAGAACGCTTCGATGTACTTGGAATCTACGCTCTTCTACAATCAGAGTCAGGTCACACAAAATATTTTGTCGTCTCAATGCATTCATTCCTTGCATTAGGTTAACACTGTGTTTGGGGGATTTCAGAGTCACCGTTTTGTTAACGTTCTTCTTTCGTCTAGGCTGGACTGTTTTATCAGATGTTTCACTGAAAAGAAGATGTATATTTGCATTAGGTTCCTTTAAAGAATCTCAATAATTTGATGGAAATATTCCTCATTTACTCCAATAACATTGTCTTATCATCTTTTGAGTACACATAATATTAATGATAATTAACATTCTGTCACGTTATTCAATTAATTGTCTTTCAAATGGCACCAATTATGTAACAATTGTTCTTACAGATTACATACATTTGTTTTTGAAATTACTCCAGGAATAAATACCTTTTGTCATCAAACACTTTCTGTTGCCAGAAATGTGGCGATATTGTAGTCAACTTTGCACAGAATTTTAACAAAGCTGTTCTCAGGGCTTCCATCTTGAACTCATCCACTTCGGGATCATTCATCTGACATTCATCTGGAGAAGAAGTAGCTGCGCATGCGCCAGGAAGATCTGTTTCCTGTTCTAACTCTTTGTTGCCCTTCTCCTTCATCCATTTTTCTTGTTCCTCTTTTTCCAAACTCAACTCCAGTCTATTACCGGAGTCTTCTGTCGTCGATGTTTGCTCGTGCTTCTCTTTTTGTTTTCTCTTTGATTTTCTAGCTTTGCCCAGTCGTTTTTCAAGTAGCTCCCTGTGAACAAAATTGAAACCGTATAAGTTGTTGCCCATCTCAAATATGAAATGCTCTAACTGGCATTGCGCGAGTTGTAATTAGCACCATGACTTCATTGCTGTAGGCCAAATACGAAAAACAACGCATGCGCAGTGAACACTACCATGGGAAGGAGATCGTTGATTTTCGTAAGAGTATTCAACTTCTCGAAGACAATCAAATATAAAAGTATAAATAATTGAAACACAGGATTTTAAAATTAGTTTCTTTATAATACTAATTGTAATCGTCCAACAAAAACAAACGAAAACAAAGGTAACTTCCAAATGCGAATTTCATACCAATGCACCTTCGGGCATATCCACTAACAATATCTATCTACGATGAATGCATCCCTTATTTGGCCAATGTCGCTTAGAAGCATTTTTTGTAAACTTACATTATGCACTATTATACTCGTATATGTGTATGTTTTATTCATTTTCACATTTTTGGGATATTTTTTTTTTCAATCCTAACAAGAGCCATTGTTTTTGTAAGGGTGCATTACACCTATCAACAATATTAACATATATATCGAGTAATCCAATGATTGCGACAAGAGAGTGAGATCAGTGATTAATTTGGTTTCTCAGCTAGAACATGACGTGGAAAAACCAGAAATGAAATTGAGCCATTTAACAAGAGCATTCAAGACGAGCATACATAGTAGAGATGAAGTTATGTGTGGGGGAAACTGCCACAAACAGTATAGAATCTTTAAATCTCACCAGATAGACTGTAGATACATCAAGCAGTAGACGGTATACCAGTGTGCAATGTTCTAATGGTGAACACGCATGTATTCAGTTGTACAGCAATGAGATAGAGCTACTAGTAGTTGAAAACTACATACGCTAGGACGATTTGGAACAATGTAGCACTTGGAGTACAAAGGATGAAGTCTGTCTTAATTAACACTCTTTGTCAATTTAAAGACAAGGGTGGATTCACACCTTAGAATTTTAATCCTTGGCGTCAATTAATATGATTGGTTGTTTTAATTGAGCCAATCAGGGAGAATACACTTATGTAAACTGATAGAAATGGCTGAATATAGGCCAAAGTGTGTTTCTTTGCGTCACGAAAACAGCATAAATCTATAGAAACTTTGATTACAACTACTCAATCTTGACAACATAACTGGAGATAATAAACACTGATAATTACATACAACAATGAAGTAAATCTGATAAAAAGAAGCGAAGTTATGGTTAAATAACATGAAAAATATATGTATCCACATGGTAATAACGATATTATGATTAGAAGATGCCTTACATATACTCCAAAATTGTTACCCGTATAGTGGCCCGCATTGCAGCAAATGAGAGGAAACAGTTCCATCGAGCGTGTTGTTCATTTCTTATAAGAGCTATCTTGTGTTATGGTGTATTCCGTATAAGAGTTTTATTGCAATGATGTGTGAGTTAATCAGTTGTACGTTCTATACAAGCAAATAATTGTATATTTATTACGTATCCTTTAAAAGAAATCAAATGAACACCAATATTAAGTCAAGTTACACGCCGTTATAACCAAACACCAAACACGTGGTAGTAACAGTTTTTCCATTGGTATACATATGTGTACACGGCATGTACACATCACATATCATACATATGTTTCATGTTTAACGTGCCACATCCATCACTCCGCGTCGTAATAGATGTGGATCCCATACGACGTATGAAACGCGTGTAAAACATTGTTCATTCACATGGAAAGCAAACGCGCGTTGTATAATGATCGCAGTCATTCAATGATCTGAATTTCAAAATAACGAATTTATAATGAGGTTTTCATAATTGGAGAACAAAACACGATGCCCGTATCTCTTAGAGAACGCGACAATTTTATATTGATTTGGTCTATAATTAGGAATCAACGTATGTTGGCACTTATAATCGTGCTGTGTTCGTATCATTTATTTATTCATTTATTTATTTATTTATTTATTTATTTATTTATTTATTTATTTATTTATTTATTTATTTATTTATTTATTTATTTATTTATTTATTTATTTATTGAAAATCGGCCCAAAATATGCATATCATTAAATTATTTTCAGAGACAAAAGACCATTTTTTTTATATGTAAAGACAAACCATTGTACTCGCAGATCCCAGTGAGATATTGGTACACTAGTATTTTGAGATCAGAATATTCCATCTATATTCACTGTTCAGTGAATCTGACGCCAACCAGATGGCAAATTACGATTTCTATTTGATATAATGCGACATAACTGTATTCGACTCACAGTCTAAATAAATGAGGCACATGTTATTGAGTACTGCGTGAAAGTACATGTGATAGTCCGGTGGATTACGTCATCAGTAACGTGACGTGTTGACGGGCTCGTTCAAGGTTGCTTTGCAACACACACGGTTGCGGGATTGTGCCTACCTAGAATTGAACAAACGAACAATATATTAATGACTTTTGTCAACACGTGGTGTGATTGGGTAGCTATGTGGAGTCACGACTATCACTATCATGTTTTCCTGGGAATTGTTGATGTAATCATATTTAGGACTGGATTGACAAATGTTACAAATTTGATCACAGTAACTAAAAACGGTTTATCTGTCAGTCAAATTTTTAATCAAATTCACTGATTCATTTATGTCATCTATCATCATGTACACGTTATTGATTATAATTTTTGATTACTATTAAAATAACCGTACAATTTTCAAAAGCAGTTTACGGTTTGCAAAATCTCGGACAACTGTAGAATATCATGACTTCTATGTCACAATATTGATTGAAATATTTAAATGTATGAAAGCAATCGCGTTACGTAATGAGCTGTCCATTTACTTCTTCAATGATTATACATATTGTAATAATCCACTACTCTGTGTCGTACATAACAAATATTAATGAAGTTTCAACTGAACATTTTTAAATATTAAAAACGCATAAATAATGACGCAATGCTGTAAATTATTTACTTATTGCTTGATTACCTAAATTGCTAGTGCAACCTCGTTCGCAGCGAAATATTCCAAACTTTCATAGCAATAATGCACTTTTCGGATTTTAACTCATTTTAAAACTCATTCTAATAAAGTCATGGACAATTCAATATGATAATAATATCAGGCTGCCAGTGTCTAGCAAAACTATCAAAATATCAGGCTGCCAGTGTCTAGCAAAACTATCAAAATATCAGGCTGCCAGTGTCTAGCAAAACTATTTTCAAAACATCACGGCGCAGACTTTTCTGTTTTGGTTTTGAACATGGATGGTATCGCTCGATTTAAAACAAATCAAAAGTAACTCCATTCAACTGACTTTTAAATTGAAAATTTCATTCCCCTCGTTGACTTTTGTAGCTCTCGTTTTACTGTAGAACATCACATTTGAAGATAGTGGATGACATGTACTGTCCGTGCGGAGAGTGAAGGTGTTAGCGCAAATTATCCAGGAAAAAAAATCCAAAATGGAGCAATAACAATATCCCTTTCTCACCAATACGTCGTGCGACTTCCAGGCGAAAAGGATAACAGTAGATACGTCAGTGGTAATACATACCCCCACGGTGAGTTCAGTTACGTCGCCGTTTCCGTGTTTCGGCAACTACGGCGTTAACTATAAAAGCACTAGCTCAGAACAAACTGGCATGTCACCAAACCACAAAACGTTCATAAAATGAACTCATTATGCCAGGAATAGACGCAGATGTTTAATTGTTTGATTGATAGTAATTGTCAAGAATAAAAAGGCAGGACGAAACACAACATGGCAATAGTGAAATAAAATTATCTTTGTTTATGCAAATTACACCCACATCATATTAAGCACCTCTTGTCAGTAAAGTATACGTATACAAATGATTATTTTTCATCCAATAACAATCAATATTTGATTGCGCACTAAATCTAGAATTTTAATGTTTTAAAAATGCACAAAATCTTAAAGAAAATGTCGAAAAAACATAATATTCAAATAATCTGTTTATTGAAATGTTCATCACATTGTTATAATTCGGCCTGCAAGCGCCATTGTATGACGTAGACGCTCTATGTGGTATCGCACGAAATATGCGGGCGAGTTTATTCAGTACACAACAACACGTCCCGAAATAGTAACACCAGTCAACAGCTAACTCCGCGAAGACAGCAACAACAACCACTAATCCTTTAATCGGATCAACTTGACTGGGAAATACGACAGGTGGCAGCATTCTAGCCGTATAAATTATTCTTGAATATATTAAATGTTCTTACCTTTCTAAACGGAATACTGCAGTAAATGGCTGCAATTCGCGGAGAAAGTCGTCCA